AGGCTAATAAAATGATTGTTCCAGTGTTCGAAAATTCCTCTTCTTCTCAGAACAAAAAGTATTCAACTCAAACACAATAATACGTTTACTTGTTATTTAATATCATAAACTATCTGCGTACTGCCACTTCTCATACAGATTGTCCAGAATGGCCTAGTTACGGAAGTACACACTACCTTCTCGGATTGGACACAAGTAATCGCACGGCTGTACAACAACAACCGGATGGAAGTCGAATGGGTTGTTGGGCCTTTGCCAGACCTTGGTGTCGCAACGACCGAAGTTATTGTGCGTTATACCCTTGAAGGTGAAGGTCTTCAACCATCAACGAGTGGTAAGTTCCGATCTACTGTATCACAGGAAATGGAAGCCCTCTTTGTCGATTTCCTAGGCGTTGCATGCTGTGTCCGGTTGTTAATTTGATTTAGTTCACCAAACTCCTTTTTAGTATGTGCATTAGATTTTATACTGGTGCAAGTCTAATACGCGCAGCTCCTAGGTGGATTCTGTTTAACAATGCTGCTTAATTTTTTTCAGTAGGTGTTCCGACGATTATAAAAAGCATAAGTGCTGTCAAATAGCCAGTTTAACCTACGCAGGATGGGTATTGAGTCCGACGGCCACATAAGGTCGAGACACCTTTTTGTGTATGACCGACTTAGGAGTGGTCTTCCCTGTTCAACATCCACGCTAAATGAGGCTTATCTTCTACCTTAATCCCAATTGCTTGCTTCGTTTGTTCATGGCTTCTTGCCCCCCTCCCCCGCAAGGCTTCTTAGGTGCGCGCGATGCCATGAGTGTAACAGCTGTCGGTTAGTAGTGGACTGTTCATCAGCAGTCCGGTACCCGCAGTTAAGTTCCATTTAGGCGAATAAAAGTATTGTCCCAGCGATCGAGTCGTCTTCTTCTCTTGACCCAGTATTCTCACACGTTCGAAGTCGAAGCCGTATCCTGGCGCGGATGCGTGAGCGGCTACCAAGGAAATGTTGTGCTTCCGTCGCACGGCGAGTTTGTGCCCATGCAGTCTAGTGCGAACCCGTTTGCCGGTTTCATAAACATAATTGGCTTGACCACAAAGACAGTCAATGCGGTAAATGACACCGGAGTTTTGGTTAACGGGTGTTGGGTCTTTAGGTTGCATGAGTTGCCTGTGGATTGCCACTTCCGGTCTGCAGGCGACGCCAATCCCAAATTCGCTGACCAGTCGAGCGAATTCTTCGGATACACCTGCAATATAAGGTATTGTTCGCCAAAGTATTGGTTCTGGCTGCCCCATTGGTTTCCTTCGTTTGACTCCTCGTCTGCATTTTTCGACGAATGCGGCAGGATATCCGTTCATCGTGAAAAGTTTTCGCACGAACTGGACCTCGGCCATCTTGTCGGCGCCTTCGCTGCAGTGGGTTTCTGCTCGGCGCTATAGCGTTCACATGCAGCTGCGTTAGCACGAGACGTGACTGCTGCTGTGGGAACTCAGAATACGACAGGTATTCGTCGCCTTGCTATAAACTGTTGTTTTAAGTTCCCCACTATCTTTTCTGCACACCAGCACGTCGAGGAAGGACAAATGGAAGTCTTTTTCTTTCTCCGTCGTGAATTGAGTGTCGGGGAAGATCGAATTCAGAATCTCTGTGAAATCCCAAATCCCGTCTCAAATAACGAGGACAAACGTGACATCAACATAACGGATCCACAATCATCATCGATAGTGGTTGAAAGCCAGTGCCTCCAGTCGTTGAAATACTGTTTCGGCTATCAGGCTATCGCAGGGGTTAAGTAAGTTAAACCCTAGCAACTGCGATCTTCAGATCATGGTTCCTTAGGAGAGGAGAAATCAATGGAGGCCAGAATAGTAGAAATTGTTTACTGTGTGCACAGAGGAACGAAGAATAATCGGGAAGAAGTTTGACTTGGGAGCACACAACCAGTCAGGGGGCCAGCCGGGTCCTAAGTGCCGGTTTTATAGCAGTCAGGCCAGTGGGCAGAGAGGACATGCACGCGTACAGACTTGCTATTCGTCGCCGGGCCGGAAATCAGTTTTGCGGCAACTGTAATTGACTGTTCCAGACGTAGAGGCCAGCGTCTGTGGCCCTTCGGGAAAGTTTAGTAGGCTTCGATATGCCTATTTATCTTATTTCAATCGCATTTCGCCATATTTGGGCTCACCGCATTGCATCCCATTGCTGAGAGTTGGTACACTTTGTCTTACTGTTTTGCTAGGTTACTTAACCTAAGCCGATTGCACTCCCAACACAGAAACCTATAGTAACCCGTAAAGACTTTTGCCTATCATCTGTAACACGCAACTGCCTAGTTACAGTTTCCTACCTTGTCTTGCTCGGTTATCATGCGAGTATTTGATCATTTCTACGGCAGTCAGATATTCGTTAAAATTGCCTAACCACACTGTACCCTCACACGGAAAACTTTAGTAATCTGCGATTACTTTTTGGCCGCATGAGGTACAATATCTGTGCAGATTTTGTTAGTCGGTTTGGTTGCCTATTTCGATATACTCGATTGCAGCTCCTTTTTACTCCCCACCCGTAAAACTGCTATTCCCACCGGTCCCGTAAGACAGAGTTCTGTGGTTAAGGGTAGCTTACGTACGCTACATAACCTACTTCCATGTTAGTAGGACTCCCTTTGAACATAACCGAGTATTCTGCTTAAATTGCAGTCTAAGTGACCGTTAATGCGCTGCATTTCAAACTTTCCCTACAGGCGAATTCTTTACGGACTCCATGGGTCGCACATTAATTCGACGGCTGCGCAACACTCGACCTGATTGGAGTCTCAACCATACTTATCGTGAACCGAAGAAAATTGAGGGCAACTACTACCCAATATTGAACCGGATAATGCTGAAGGGCAGTGGTGAGCAACCAATGGGATTTGCCGTCTACCCGGACAGAGCGGAAGGCGGTTCCAGCCTGCAGGATCTCCAGGTGGAACTGATGGTGCATCGCGCCACTTCAGCAGACGATGGACTGGGAGTTGGTGAGCCACTTGTTGAAAGAGGCATTGCTGGTGGTAAGTTTTTAGTCGAACTTTCTTCTTTACCTGCAATTGCCAAGCTAATTTGTTTTCCAGGCTTAATGTATGGGGTGCGGGGAGTGTTTGTATCGAGGGCTAGTTGCTGTCTCGACACCAGAAGGATCCCCATATCAAAAGTCTGATAAGACGGAATGAATTCGGACAACTTTACCACCCAAGAGGCTTTACAGTAGCTGCTGCAAGCACCGCATACAGAAACCAGTCGAGTCGGTGTGAAAGTGACTATGGGCGCGGCTTTAGCCAAACCTGTCTAGTCCTCAGCCAATCAGGAAATGGTGCAGGTGTTGGCATCAGAGCTCGCGAGGAATCGATTAGCTGCAGGCGAAGGCCCGTCGACAGGGGGTGGGGTGCAAAAGTACAAGAGCGCGCAAAGGTAAGAGGATGAGTCCACGCTGGGCGCGGAGCTAGACAAAGGTTTGGAAGATGAGAAGGTGAATACGCGCAGCACTACCGAATTCAGACTGCTACATTTGCATCCCAGGTGTATGTAAAGGTATTTCCTATAGTGTACTGATGTGCTCAGGGTCTCAAACATGTAGTTACTCGAAATAGCATAAACCGCGATTTCCCACTCGTTGTTGGGAGCAAAGGAGGTATGAGCCTCAGCGCTAACTTCAAACCAGTGTCGCTTCTGACAAATGCTAACGTCAGAAATAGTACAAGTACTA